ATTAACTGAGAAGAAAGTGCTGCCTTTGTAATAATATCTGCAAATGATTAGACTTTCTAGTCTTCTCAGATAGGGACTATAAATGGAGGTCCCGTCTCCTGCAGGGTTGGGGTAGGAGACGTTAATTTCCCACACACGAGATTACTGTGTGATGGATGTCCTCCCCAGGGTGGGATGGGTGGGTAAAAAAAGGGATTAGGTGTCAATTGGAATGAAAGTTCTGTTCCTTTCTCCTGCCATTCCTGAGGCAAATGAATTAAACTTAAACTTAAACATAATGAGGTATAAAGTGATATATAATTAATCAACGTTATTCTCTGAGGAAGAATGGAAGTTTCAAAGTGAAACATAGCAAGCCACTTTGAGAGTGACTGACCAAAGTATAACACTTTATCATAAGTGTTTTCCATACATCCTGTGTTAAGTGACCTCCACTTTTTTCCTTTCCAATTTTGTATTGTTAATCAAGTGTGTTGCCCTAGGAAATTTTCAGAGCAATTTCAGATCTAATCTCAAATTATGAACTAAAGATGGTTTGCACATCCTTTCTTCTGTTACCAACTGAAGGAGAATGGTGGCTGACTTAGTCTTGCTTTTATACCTGTTTCCTGAAAGGTTGTAGAAAAGATCACTGTAAAAATCTTCCCAAAACATGTTGTGAGTAGATTTCAGGGCATGGTTCCTTGACTTCAGGATTTCAAGGGAACTTGAGTAAGGATGAGGTGCTGCAGTTTTAATTAATTAATTTATTTGATGTATTGAGATTCATATAATTTACTGGATATCCAGATTATCTTTAGAGATTGTTTTGGGTACTTTTGTCCTTTTTTTCCCAACAACCTTTCTCAAAACAGCTGTATAAGATAAGCATCCTACTTTGTGGTTATCTACATCTTTTGGACAAGCGTAAATGACCTTTTGGCTTAGGGTATAGATGGGCTTGGGAAAACTTCATAGAAAATTTCAGTGACTCATATCCTCAGCTTGGGCACCCATTGGGAAGATTACTTACTAATAACAAGATATGTTGGGAATCAATTTATTTTATTATGCATCAGTAATTATAGATTGATTTTGTTAATAATTATGCATTACTCAGTATGATGGGGACTGGACAGCTGCCCCAGTGAAGAAACGCATTATCCAGTGTATGTATAGCTGGACTGTAGGTTTACCAACGGAGACCAAAATTGCAGAGGCTTACAAGATGCTAAAAACACAAGGTACAGTAACAGAGCCAACCTTATTTTGATCCATTTTTATTCCAAGAGGTTATTTTCCCCCTAAGTTGCCATGGTGGGTAGATTACAGGAGGAAGAACATGACCTCATGAAGTGAGAATTGACTTCATTCAGTCTTTTTTTTATCCTTTTACTGTCACTCATGTTATGTGATAGGTTACATGACTTTTCAGACCAAGCTTGTACATGCTGTTAAATATATCCATGACTTAAACTCAACCACAAAATTGAAAAATCTTAATAATTGATGTAGTTTTGATATAAAACTATTTTTCAATTAGGAATTGTCACCACGGACCCACAAGATCCTTATGCTCAAACTGCTGCTGAAGTAAGCAAGAAAATTGAGACAGATGGTGCCTTACTTTTGCTCTTAGGCGACTCAGGAATCTTAGTTTTTTCATTAAACAGTATATGCTGGGCACCCTGGATTTCACAGTTTTAGAGCACTGAGCTCCCTTCAATTTTTCTTGAAGCACAGCCTTGGATCAGTAGAAACAGAATTGGACAGTGTGGAATCTTATTGCAAATTAAAACTATGACAAAATTTGAGAGACAAAATAGCAATTCAATAAATGTTATCATAAACCAACAGTACTGTTAGCTCAGTGTAATGTGCAGCAACAGCATGCGTACACGTATATCAGGGGTATTTTCCGATTACACAGGTATGATGTGTACACTGTCCTATTAGTGTTCAAATTGCACAGGTGATAACCACTCACATTGGAGACTGAACAAATTATTAGGATTTTTTAAATTATTTATAGGTGACAGGGATCCTTTGAAACTAAACACCACAATTGGCAGTAAAAAAAAACTAGATTTAAAACAACTTATCATGTGTCATGTATATTTATGAAATTCAATGTAATTATGACTAAACTAGAAAAAATTATAGTATGATAGACCATAAAGACTTACAGAGTACTTATGAAATTGAATTTAAATGTGGCTTTCTTTGGACAGAATCCTCCTGACAAATCAAAAGATACGATATTCCAGGATGAAGAGAAATCAAAGGTTTGATTTTCCAACTTGTTTAGTTAAAATTCTTTGACATTGAAGCACATGTAGAAGTTTAATAATTTCATAATATCAAGTGGTAGTAGCTACTTCTTTCTTCTTATTCCTCTTTATTTAGATCTAAATAAGTTGTGTGTCAGCTTTTAATCTCTGTTTGTCAACTTTGAAATGATCTCTTTGTTTTTCTAGCTGTTGGCTCGCCTTCTGAAGAGTAGCCATCCAGAAGATTTACAAGCTGCAAACAGACTGATCAAGACAATGGTCAGACAGGTTGGTGCCTCCACACTGCATATGGCCCAAATTTATCTTCAGGTGTTGATATGCCTCTTGAGAGTAAACAAATTAAAAAAGTCAACACAAGGAAAAATTTGGATTTGCAAGCAGACATGTACGGGTAATGCTCTGCTTATTTTGTAGATGCTGATTGCATATTTGAATCAAAGGGAGATTTCGAACACATTTTTAAGAGCACCAAATGAAGAAAAGAAGTTTGGATGTTAGATCAAAAAATTTGATGATTTTTTTTTTCTTTTTTTTTTTTTCTTTCTTCCATTCCAGGATGAAATGAAGATGGAGAGACTGGTGAAAAGAAATACAGAAATGGAGACATGCTGTAATAACATCAAGCTTCTGACAGAGATGTTGAATCATTATAGTCCTTCTTCTCCAGCTCAGGATAAGGAACTCATGAAGGTAAAACTGTATTGTTTGCTTTTTTTTTTTAGTTTGCTTACCTCTATTGCTACTAAAAAGTGTTTTCAAAAGGTACATAAGTCAATGTAGCTCGATTATTTTTTTATTTCATTTTTATTTTTTTATCAGCTGGAATATTGTGCTAATACATATATCTTATTTACCAAGCATGAGGGCTGTACTGGGAGAATATCAGCCTGAGGTCCGTACAAAAAATACCGAGGGCCGATATTCTTCCAGTACAGTCCCGAGCAAGCTTGGTTAATAAGAGATTTATTATACGACTGAAGTTCAAAGGGACACAAGTGCGGTAACATTCAGGACCATTCGGGACAGTGCCGGGTCCAATACTGAGAGGATATTGACCGGCAATAGAGCATTTTGATTGGTTGATTTTAGTTATTGGCCCTCTGACCGCCCGATTCATGTAATAAAAAAATCTACAAATAACAGTATTAATTAAAAGGGAAAAAATAAGGGAGGGATAAGAACAGGACGCCCAGGATTGAAAGGGAAAAAATTAATGTAATAGGAAACTAAGAATACACTTTGACTCAATAACTGTTACTGTAACTGTAACAGTTGTAGATTAGTAATGGGTTTATTGTATGAAATGTTTATAGGAACTGTATGACTCCTGTGATAAAATGAGACCACAATTGTTTAGACTAGCCAGTTCAGCCACTGAAGATGGTGATGAAGGATTGGGTAAGTTAGGTTCAACTCAGAAGCAGAACTTTACACTTTTTAGTGGTAAGGAATTCAGTGGCCCAAAATGCTAAATTTTTATCCTGGACTTTTACCACCAATTACAGCACTAGAAGTCTGACCCACTGTTGATCAAAGAACACATGGTTTTCATCTGCTGAGAAGCTTGTTGTGTGGACAAAAATTTAATTTAATGGCCAGTCTGTGAACACCTGGTTTTAATTCCTTTGAAGATTGGATTGTTGAGAGTCAACTAATCAGGGTGTTTTCAAGATGGGAGAATTCATCCAGCTATGATGCAGAACTCCCTGTTCAAGTTCACAAACTTGAGTCATTTTTTGTTCACGCATTGAGATTCTCCTCTTGTTTCTTTATTCTTTTCTCCAGCAACTAAATTTCATAATGCAAACCATGACTAATACTCTTTAACAATGTGCAAACTATTGCAGCTGAAATTCTCAGAGTGAATGATGACTTATCAAGAGTGTTAGAGTACTATAAAAGGATATTTGGAGTAGCTCCAGGAGCACCCACTACACCAACTAGTCCTGGACCTCTTTCTGTGAC